CACCCTGTGTACTAGATACAAGGTACCCGTGTAAATATTTCACGAATTTGACACATCGATTCAACACACATGATTCAATGAGAACTGCTTCACTATTTATGCAAAATGTTTCTTTTTTATATTAAATGTTGTTCAAATGGTGAATGTACGTGGTAGACGCGAGACGTGGATAAGAAGGCACATGGACAATAATTCGATAATTTAGAAACCCAAATAATATTCGGATAAATTTTAAATAAATTAATTTATTATTAATTAGTGATATAATAATGAATTTATGCGAATTTTTCTAGTGTTGATACGATACTTAATTGATTTATTTAATTGACCATTTTTTAAGATTTAATTACGCGATCTTAAACAAATATGTAATCTACATGTTACATTATTTTAAAATTATAATTTAGAAGTAATTACCTATTTCTCAATATATATAAATTAGTACTTTTTATTTACAATATTTTTAGTGTTCGTCGGAGAAATTCGTCACTCGCACGAATAAATTTCGAAACTTCGAACTTCGAAGCTTCGAAGATTTCGAAGTTAACTTCGAACTTCGAAGCTTCGAATCTTCGAAGCTTCGAAGATTTTGAAACTTCGAAGTCAACTTCGAAGCTTCGAATTACTTCGAAGCTTCGAATCTTCGAATATCGAAGCCTTCGAAGGAAATCACCAGCCCTATTGGGATACGATCGCACAGCCATTTCCAAACGTTTAGGTACGTGTACTGGGAATGAATTCAAAAGCTAGAAAATTGGGTGCCGTACGAATTGAAGCCGAGAGACGTCGAACGGCGGTTTTTCACATGTGAACAGCTGCTCCAACGGCAGAAAAGGAAAGGTTTTTTGCATTGTATCGTGACTGGCGATGAAAAGTGGATACACTACGATAACCCCAAGCGTAAAAAATCGTGGGGTAAGCCTGGCCATGCATCAACATCGACGGCAAAGCCGAATATCCATGGTTCCAAGCTCATCCCAAGTAGAACAAGTTAATCACAAAAACGTCAATGTGACATTAAAATGACGAATTTTACGTCAAAAAATGATCGACATCAAGATTTACTTCGCAATGACTGACTAATGACCATGATATTCGTGACGTGTATAATAATATATTATTACAGATTACATGATCAGTCATATATTATGTTTGTCTTATATTACTTCGATTTATTTTTGATGTATAATACTTAATTAACTTTGCTTGGTAAAACGAGATTAACTTTACAACATTTCGATGTCTTAATGATGTCACAAATAGGTGCTCTCGGTGGGCTATTTTGACGTCACCATGATGCATAAAAAATGATCGAAAAATGATGTCATCTTGATGTTTTCATGACCAATATGTTCTACTTGGGATGCTCCGTATTTCGTGGGATCAGCTAGGTGTGGTTTATTATGAGCTGCAACAACCTAACGAAACAATCACAGGGGATCGCTACCGACTACAATTGATGCGTTTGAGTCGAGCATTGAATGATAAACGGCCGCAATATGAGACACAATAAAGTGATTTTACAACACGACAATGCTCGACCACATGTTGCACAACCGGTCAAAACCTACTTGAAAACGCTCAAATGGCAGGTCCTACCCCACGCGCGGTATTCGCCAGACATTACTCCTTCTGATTACCACTTGTTTCGATCGATGACTCATGGCCTGTCAGTGAGCAGCGCTTCACTTCTTATAAAGATACCAAAAAAATGGGTCGATTCTTGGATAGCCTCAAGAGACGAAAAGTTTTTTCGACGTGGTATTCGTATGCTGCCAGAAAGATGGGAAAAAGTAGTGGCTAACGATGGACAATACTTTGAATAAATTGTATATGTACAGTTTTTTGCAATAAAGCTGTAATTTTTCCAAAAAATCCTTTAAAATTAATTCACACTTCTAATATATCTTTTTAACAGACTGTGTAATTATAAAGCAAGACAATTTTTTGTATTATGCTAAAGTCTTAGAAACATTTAGAACACAAAAGAGAAAGAACAACTATGTAAGAAATAACATGACAAGAGCGAATGTTACAATACTGGACGACATGAAAAAATTAATTTGTTTACTTCATATTATATTATTTAATGTAGATGGAAAATCAAACACATGTGCTTGGAGATGAAAAATAATTGACGACCTAATGCCATGAAAATAGATATCGATGGTACTTTTATTTAGTTTTTAAAAAATTTTATTTAGTTAATATCAAGTAAAAATATCAATATTAAAATGTTGCAAAAATTGCAAATACGCATTGCGTGCGATTAACATCAAGATTTTTGCCTAAATTATGACGAAACCGTTACGTGAATGTTACGAAGAATTAGCAATGTGCATCTACTTAATGCTATTACACAATAATCATTTTAATTAAATTTAACTTTATCTTTAAATATAATTCATACAACAACAGTTTGTTACATTTCCATAATTAATAAATGCAATACAAGAGGTCTTCTCCATGCAAATTGATTACGTATAATATTTTTATCATTGTTTATTACTCGCAATGTTGTAAAAAAGAAGAATATAGTCGAAAGATTCTGTTACATCTAACAATAAATATATAGTTAAAAATTTTATTTAACATTAATAAAAAGGAAAATGGATATTCGGCTAATGTTGCAAATGTTTGTCCCGTTACAAAGGGTAGTAGTATAGATGCGAACGTAAAGCAGTAGAAGGCAACTATACTTGTGCCATGGTACACCATACACTTGTCAATATATCGTGGAATCATCAAACTTCTTCATGCGGTTTCATCTGCTCGCTTAAACGTACCATTTCGAAAGTAACATTCTACAAATAATGATTTTAAAAAATTATTTATACAGAGAGTATAGTAGTGGAACACAAGTCTTTAATCAATCTATACGTATATATTGTATATGTACCTACATCTTTCAATATTGTATAAACAAACATATTAATTACCTGTATGTGACGGTGATTAATCATATGAAAAAGGAAATTAATACTGGCATGAATAAGACTGCTTGTTAGAAGAAGTTGGTGTATGAAGATTGAAGAATCGTCAGCATTATTTTTAATACCATATATTAGCGGTGCCGCTAGATTAACTCTATAATTATGCACAAACAGTGATGCAGTATGACACAGAATTTCTTGAATTTTGTTGCATCTTGTAGCTGAGGCCGACCCCACATTGGGAGTAAATTGAATTTCATGGCCGAGATTACTTTCTTTAGCATCACCATTTTTTTGCATCCACAGCTACGTACTGTGGATGGTATAAGTGTACAAGCAAGTTGATGCTATGGGAAATAAGCCGTTACGAATGCCCCACGTATTCGCCACAATGTTACAATGAAAGAGTGTAGCAAAGGGGTGTTACTGGAGAAGATTATACATTGTGCTTCGTTTTTATTTCGCATGGGGTATACAGCTAAAATTATCATGAAGCATACGGTGTATGTATGTGAGAGGTGAATAACTTTGCGTGTTTGAATTCAATAAGCGGTAACTTTTTCTGTCTGCCAAAGAGTTAGAAAAGTATATGCATGCAGTAAGATGATTTTTCTGTGATTTTCAAAATGTATTATGTATCTACGGTATTTATTTTTAATCTTACTGTCGTAAGAGAAAGTGCGAAGCGAATTAAAAAGACATATTTTTTTACGATATCCGGGGTATACCACAGATATTATCTATTCACTTTTTGAAAATTGCAAAGACATTACACATATTATTTTAATTAGTCTATTATTCTATATGACAGATTTGTATTAATATATACATATAAAACTGCAGTGAAGTGTTTCAACCTGAAGTAGTATTCTTGTGCAGGCTACACAATAATTTTATCGACGCATATCCTTCTCGCGATAGTAACTAAGTATACGAGACGTAACGTATGGTTTACTGAAATGATATACAACCATTTCTGAAGTATGGACTTCGCGCCCACGCAACCTTTATGTCATATAATCTTGGAAAGAAAACGGAAGATTTGTGTTTTGCATTATAGAAGTAGGTGGAACGGTGCAATAGGCTATGGATATGGTAAATATCTGTTATGATGTAGGGATTGATGTAGGAACGTTGCGTTCCTTTAAATCATGTTGGAATTCCGACTTTAAAATGCTATGCTATAAGTCTCTGCTATATGGAAAAAATCTCCGAAGCACTCAATGTCGACAAAGGGTGGTCGGACAATGTGCTATGAGATTTTAGAAATAGTTTCATATCAGTCGTTGCCCCGTGCGCATATGTTTGGCGATTCGCTCTGTAAATTGTAATCTTTCTGGTAAGTGTTACGGTGCATTAAAATTGGTGTTTTTCTTTAAAAAGTGGATTCTAAATCATTTATTGAGAATGTTGCTCATTATGAATAAGCCGCTATAGATGCGCTATTTCGACGTCATAATTTTGAGAAAAAGGACATGTATTCAAACACGATAAAATCTAGCTGAGTTGGAAACGGAGACTCTTCGTGATTAAGAAGCTTCAACATCTAACAATAAGAGAGGTGCTTCAGTTGTATCAGAGAGAAACCGAGAATCTCGTAGTCTGTCATCAGTAAAATATTGAGGTGAATATCTTTAACTTCTGGAGGAGTGATAGCTAATTTAGACCCTCGAATAACTAATTTTGGCAATAATCTTGGATACAAATAAAAAGCAGATGTCTACTTTTGAAGGGAAGTGTTTGATTGTATACATTTTTTATACAATTCAGTTTGATTACGGGCGAACAATTAGAACGATCAAATTGTAACAAAAAGGCATGCAAAGGTCCAGACCGTGTCGTATTACTCTACCGTATTGTGATCAGCCAAGTACGGTCGGAATTTTTCTTTGAAACTTTAAAACTATTAAAAAATATTATATTTTAAATATATGTAGGAATTCTTCCTATATTAAAAAAATTTTAATAACGATACAATTCATAAAAGCTCAGGAATCTCTCAGACTGGGATTAAAAATAGGCAAATTATAATTACAATAAATTTGTAGAATTGTTATATTAATATTAATACATTTATTTTTTGAAAACCGGCGTGTATTCCGTATTACTAAATATATAGACAAAGTTGCTTTGTTCCAGGAAATTTAATTCTTTCTTTGGAACTACGTTTTTTCGGAAAGAATTATGCGAAATGTTGTTAAGTAAGAAAACGCCGTTGAAACATACTGTAAAATCATTGAAATTATAAAACTTGTAAAAATAATTGGATGACAGTCAAATTTGATATAATAATTTAATATTATTGCTATCGTATTCTAAATTAGAAAAGAAGTAAAATTAAATACAAAGTACACATATTGTAATTGATGATACAATTATGTCAAATTAGCATCAAAAGTTATATTTTATATTTTTCATTTATGCTCTTGAATGAGAAATACTTTCTTTGTTGCACCATGAATTACATTATATGCTATATATGATTAGAGATTAACATTGCTTGGCGTTCTCTTACAGAAGAATAGTGCTGAAAAGTTAAAGCTCTTAATAATCCGGGAACGGATATAATTACAGCTCGTTGGCATCGTAGCAAAGTGTACAACATAATCTTTCGTGATTCGATGCTTTGATTGTACCATAATGAATTATAGGCTGCCTCAGCAATATTAGAACTCTGAAATGTATATTGAAAAAATATACACTTTTGTCAGTCATGTGTTGTAATGTACACTTTTGGATAGCTTTTCCCTATTCGGACTTACTGTTCTCATTAGATGATCAGCCGGCCATGCGCATAGGAGTACTTTTGTCAACGACGTAGAACATACAATAATATATTGAATTTTTACGGATGGTGGAAATTGCTGTTTAAAAGATTTTAGAATGCAAATATAATTTATTGTACTGTATTATTTAACGATATTATAATATTGCACTAATGTCGATATACACACGCTGAGGAACGTAACGCCTCCGAATACTAGCGCTGCAGTACTAACACCAAGCGATGATAGCACTACATGTGAGATAGAATTACTCATTTCTTGTGCATATCTGTAAAAATTTATTATAATTTTTAAAATCTTTGAGATTAATTCATGCAACAGATAAACAACAGGAGATGTGATAATTTTATATTAATTCTATGAAAAATTGCCCAGTATGCTCAAGAAATGTATGGAAATAAAATGGCAGCAACTGATGCTAGCTCTTCGCTAGGAATATGAATTCAATGTTTGAGAGTGATTAGTGTACAGCTGGCATAATATTAACATGTTGTAGTTAAGTGCACAGCTAAAGAGAAAACACATCGTATAGGCATAGGTACTGTTAACAAAGAGTTAGCATACGTTGTTTTCAATTTTCTAACAGATCTAAATATCTTTTACATCTGGCCAAGCACTCAATGCTAGCATAATGTTTGTTTCATTTTCGACATCAAATGCTAGCAAACAACAGCACAATAGACGACATAGATTCATAGCAAGATGCTAACATTTTTGTTAGCAAAATGGAAGCAACTTGTGCTCACACTGGCTATCTGGGTAGAAGAGCTCACGAGAGTAAGGTAAAAAGAACAAATGGTAAAAAATTGTTGGGGTCAAGATTGCAAAAAGATTGAAGATTGTAATAAAAAATTCGTTTCTATTCAACCGATTGATCTGGTCCCAGTGATAATCTGTATTTTTGACATACCTTAGAGTTTTCTGATGCTCTTGTATACATGTTTTCCAATCAGAATATTTAACGCTCGCACGGAATTTCTTGCTCAAGATCTCAAAACGAGCCGTTGTAAACCATAGTAGAAGAGCGAGGAAAACATTAGCGCTCACTTGACAATAGACTTGATACATACCGAGTGCTTGATGAAAATAGATCATCGCTGTCATCGGTTGGTAGTCAACGCGGAATGGATATTCTATTTCTAGCGGAAACATGCGGGACCGAAGTAACGGCACTAAGAGCGAACCAATTAAGGATGCAGCGGTTAATGCCAATGTAGTTCCATAAAATAGAATATATTTGTCAATATATTGTTGAAATATATCCTTTTCTTCAGCGTTTGCTTGTTTGTAATAATCCTCCATCTCGCAAATTACATTCTGTAAATTTAATTTACGTATAACTTAAATAATCTATTATCGGTTAATATACAAAAATAATTGTTTTCTTACCTGCAGACGATCGTGCTGTCGCGTAAATAAATATATCTGCAATGGAACTTCACAAAAAATGCCCAACGCACAAGCTAATTGCATAATCAGAAAAACATTGTCTAAATGATTACTAATTGAATACGTCAATTCGAGGATTATTAATGCACCATTTATAATTGACAGGTAACGAAAGATTTTATCACAAACAATTTGAAATTTTGTGGCAGTCCGGGGTAGAGGCCAGCAACAAGCAAATAATAAATCCATCTTCAGGAAGGCAATAACTCTATCTAACGTCGGTGCGGTTTTCATATTACGTAGAGAGCTACGAGCGCGTTTCAACCGTTATTCTTACACTTCCCTCACAATTTCTTATTATGAAGTTCATGCAGCGAGGGTGAAAACTCTCTTGGGCGATACGGGATTGAACACACGGGCAACGCAAGGTATCTCAGGTGGAATATTATGGCGTTTATTTCTTCCGTTCGTTTTCTTCTCTTTTGAGTATACGTGCAACCACGTGGAGTAATAAATTATAAGACTGGCATGTAGTTTACCTCGGCGTATAGTTCCATAGTTCCACTTATATTTTTACGTTGAATTAATATGTGAATTACTAGGCCTTTATGTAACCCGCGTGTAATTGTTGAACATACGTTGAGAGAAATAGCCGTGCACAAAGTAAATTTGAATCTTTCGGAGAGTGAGAGAGATGAGGAAAAAGAATATTATTTTTGATAAATAGAAAATAACGTAATACAATGCAAATGACATATGATTCACATAGTATATTAACTGTGTAAACAGATTTACATTATATTTACAGATCACACGAAACGATTACATTCACGATGTTATATAATGACATAATTATTTATAACGAGTATAAAAACAAAGCGTGTATTCACGACACCTGTTATGCTGGACAATTGTTTTATTAATGAACTTTGCCCATTAGATTTTTTTCACGCGGTACATTGACTCTTAGTTGACAATAGAAAATAATGTCGACTTAACTTCTCGTGTGACGAGTTTTTCATAGATCTACTTTTCAAAAGATATAATAAAATTATATCATAAAATAAAATAATTGTTTACGTTATATTATTACGTATTGTTATACACATATACACGCGTTTTTAAAAATACATTTGAAATATTACAATTTTAATTATTAAGATTAAGAGAGGATACCTTTCTGTTCCAATTTTACATTGTAAATGTTGAAGATTATCATAGACTACTGATAAATTGTATGAAATCTCCAAGTCTAATATAGTATTGTTCGCAATGCCATAAAATATGAAAACGTAGTGGAAAGAACCTATAAATATAATTAGCATTTTATATCTCAATAATAAAAAAAAGACAAATACGTATTAAAAAATATCACGTTAATGCTTATCCTTACTTTTCCACAAAATCTTATAGAAATTACAGGTATGAAACTGGTTCCGCTAATTACAATTGGTTTCTGACATCTTTGAACAATCATAAAAATTATTCGTCGTGTGTTCCGTGATGCATTTATCCATGGAGAATTATAGATTTGCCAAGATAAGTTGTAAGACTATAACAAAAATTGTTAAAAAAATAAGCATTATATTGTAATGTACAACAAGAGATAATTATAAGACAAAAAATTCACTGATATTCTTTCTCTATTTGTCTGTTTGTCCTACACATTCGACACAAAGATTACGAATTATATATAATATATTAGCATAAAGTTTATTTTGTTACATAGAGCAATGCACAGTTAATAAAAGTATTTACTTTTTAATTCAAAAAGACAAAATGTTATAAAATATTCTTCTAGCATCAAATATAAATTTTAATAAATTTGCCTCTTTTATTATAAAATACTATGTTTCGTGTGAAAATATTTCTTTAATTTGTGCAATTGCTGTCGCATACATAAAATCAAAGGACTCACCATGTCAGTCACTGCTTGTGCCGACCAGCAGCAAACAAAGAGCCTCCAAATCGAAATAGAAGTGATTTTAAGAAATATACTTATTTCCACTATAGGTGCGTTCTGTAATTTGTGTCACATTGTGACATAGAATTTAGGGTATGTTATATATTTCATAATTAAAATATAAATTTTTATGCAAATTTGAATTGCAAACATGCATATTTGTTAAGCTACGTTAAGTTGTCATATTATTTATGATGAGAAAAGTATTAATTCGAACATACCGAATACTCACGTTTTGAATTAGCAGACCACAAGTGATTACGTAACCAGAAGTAACTATTGTCAATTTGAGGAGCAAATAACTAACGATACATTCGATTTCCCGTACGTAGCTAAATTGAAGAATCGTGCAAATTGATGTGTTTATATAAAATCATTTTTATTTAACTGTATATTGTGGGCGTTTCACCTAACTTAACCACTTGAAATATTGGTCCTCTTGACAGATAAAAAAATATTTATATTTTATTTTAAATGATTTAAACGATATATATTTAGATCTATAAAATATT